GGGGAAAACCCATGGGGTTTCTGGCCAAAATAGAAACAATTGCTATTTACGTTCACTCTCAGCCAATCAGGGCTCAAAGTGGGGGTTGGCCTGGGACCTACTGTTGGCCAATCAGTGAGAGCCAAAGTGATTTGGGTTTAAGGTGTGGTCCTTAAGAAAAAAAGGTTTGACACAAGGTCAAACATAGGACCTGAACCCCGGTCCTCCCAACACTGAATCCAACTTTAATCACTATGCCACATTGTCTCTCAAAGTGTGTATAGTACATAAAAATGCAATTCCAACATATTACAATTGTAATCTTAACCTACCTATAAGTATTTTGCTTGATATAATCAATAAACAGTAATTCAACATTTAATTAACAATTTGTTTGGCACATTAGAATTTAGAACAACTTGTGGGGAAGGAAATTGAGAAGGTTCAAGTTCCTTTTAAAAACTGTCTAAAGATGTTTGAACTTAAACCTTTTAGTCTTTATTTAAATTTCCCCATAGCAAACAAAAGCATTAAAAATCTGCAACCTATTTTTTACCAAAAAAAACTGCTGTTGAAATGAACAAAAAAATGTGTCAGGTACAGTGTTGACTATTCACTAAAGATACGAATGCAAAAATGAAACAGGCTTACCCTTAAGAAGCTCACATTTGAATAAAAGTATATATGGACAAAATAGAACAGAGGTTCCCAAACTTATTTGGCCTACCGCCCCCTTTTCAAAAAAAAGTTGCTCAGTTCCCCCCTGAAAATCTACTTTCTTTAACCTTTTAATGTTTTTTTTTAATTTGAGCCATTTCCAAAAAAAATATAATTTTTTAAGAAAATGAAACATCTTAAATTTAATAATTTATTGTAAATGTGTAGGTTTTTCCTGCATTGAAATTTCGACGACACAATATTCCATCATGTAATTGTAGAGTATCGTATTGTAAGCAAGTCATTACACTCACATGTTCCTGCCAATACATGCTGGACTTCCCAACAATGCACGACACTCTTGATTGCCAACATTTGCTTGTTAAGACCTGTCAGCAGACTTGACCAGTGATTGGTTATAACTTGCATTTTGTGTGTTTATTTGGAAAATAATGTAATCACTATGACTTTAACTCTGCTACACAAGAGATGAAACGTGTACGAACAGTTTTTCAAAAATTTTCTTCTTCTGTTCTTTCCTTATGCTGCCACTGCCCCCTTATTTTTACTCAACATTCCCCAATGGCACCCGAGGCTACTACTGCCTCCCAGATTGTTCCAGCACCCCCAGGGGGCAGTATCACCCACTTTGGGAACCTGTGGAAAACAAGGTGGTTTGGGGAGGGGAGGCACCAGCAGCTGGAATGCACTCCTTCCTCACCTCTAAGAAACACCTGCCAGGTGATGTTCTTAAACTGTCTTCTTTTTTTTTTTTCCTTTTCTTTTATTATGAATTAAATAATCAGCAACAATCAAAAACATTACAAGACACAAACATCAGGGAAGAGGACCATGCAAGAAATTCTCAACTCCTGCTAATTTTCTTTCTTTCTTTCTTTTTCTTCCTTCCTTCCTTCCTTCCTTCCTTCCTTCCTTCCTTCCTTCCTT